TGTTGACCTAAGGCAGGTTGGGTCCGTGGATTTATGCTGTTGGCGCCAAATTCTTATCGTACTATCTTTGTGCTTCAGCAGCAGCTGAGGTTCATCAGGCCAGGCTACAATTTTCATGTCTTCAACTGTCCAGTTTTGGTGACCCTGTGCCCTTTGCAGCCTCAGCTTTCTGTTCTTGTCTGACAGAAGTAGAACCTGACATGGTCTTCTGCTGTTGTAGCCCATCCGCCTCAAGGTTCAACGTTCTGTGCATTCTGAGATCCCTCACCACCATTGTATAAAGTAGCTATCTGAGTTACCTTAGCCTTTCTGTCAGCTTGACCATTCTCCATTGACCTTTCTAATCAACAAGGCATTTCTGTTCGCAGAACGGCCTCACTGGATGTTTTGTCTTAATTACACCATTCTGAGTAAACTCTTTAAGACTGCTGTGTATGAAAATCAGCGTTTGTAGAAATACACAAATCGGCCTGTCTGGCACCAACAATCATGCCACGGCCAAAATCAATGAGATCACTTTTTATTCCCTACTCTGATGATTGACGTGAACATTACCTAAAACTGCAGGCCTGTATCTACATGATTTTTTGCACTGCACTGCTGCCATTCGACTGGTTGATTAGATAATTGCATGAATGAGTATGTGTACAGGTGTTCCTTAGAAAGTGTTCAGTAAGTGTATGTTGGCATCAACAGATATGTACATGGAAAATACTGACATTTGCTGATTGGACATCTCCACTTTAAACCACTTTAAAAGATAAACCACTTCCTGGTTTATCTTTTTCCAGTAATGTGTTTTGGAATATTTGCAGGGCTATACATTCAGTTACATCAATTTTTATTGTTTGCTCAGTCATCTGAATAGTCTGTAGATTAATAAATGATGTATACGGACATGCATTCGGATGTTGCAAAAAATATGAAAGGCAGCTCACTTTAGTGCAAAACTAGGGTTCCATGATAAACACATTGTTAAGGGCTACAGTGCATTGGGCTTGAACTTTCCTCTGCCATGTGGAGAGCAAGTAACAGCTAAACAGCCAATTACAGTCCACTGCTTGCACAGCTCATAAACTTCTGTAAATGGAATAAACTCTTTTGACTTGATCTGTTGCATCAATGACACTGTGTGTCCTTGTTCAGCCTTACAGTGAAGAAAAATGTGCTTGGAGTCCTGGTAGTAGCTATTAGCTATTAGTATTTCATTATTTTTTTATTTTACACAGTAGTGAAGGCTTTAGTGTTTGCTTTTTTGCCGTTTGCGTAAAGAGGTTAGTTAGATTTCTGTGTACACAGCAAAAAAAAGTTTGTACTTCTGTCACATCCAGTCCGAGGCATACTTTAATAATCTTTTAATAATATTATTAAGTAATCTGTTTATTATTAAAGAATTTCGGAATAATTTATTACTTCTTATATCATCATTGTAATAACCAACAGCTTTATCTAACATTGCATTTAATGTCCATATCGTGTTGCCCTATATACATAACTTTTGCTCAGTGCTCAGGAGTCCAAGATGTGCATATTGGCCTTGAATACGAACAGTTTAATTATAAACTGTACATTATTTCATTATGAATGTACATATTCATAGTATGTGTATCTGTACAGGTTATGTGCATTATTATAGATGACAGGGTGGCTCCTGACTCTCACATTCATTGCTGGCTGTGCTCACGGCTGGCTGTAGGCTGCTCTGATCTCGTGGCAGGGCCAGCGTGACTCTGCCTTAGAGATCCTGCCCTAACTCCCTGCGGCCCAGTGGGGCTGCAGCTCGAAGACCCAGCCATCGATTTTTCTCTCCTCTTCTATTTTAAACCTTCCACAGCCTCCTCCTGTCTCCAGACCTGCCGTCTAACAGGCTAACAGAATGGTTGCTGTGCATTCAGTAGGCGCTTCAGCATAGTGCGCCCCTGTATGAGGTGCATCATGAGGTTAACCTGCAGCAATAACACCAAACCTGATTTTCCATAATGACTTATTTTGTATCTGTAAAGGTTGTTGCTTGTATTACGAGTATCGGTATTGATGTTACCTAGTGATATTTACCAATTTTCAGTTTTAGTGATATTGATACATAATGGTATCCATGATTATATCTTATTCCGTAAAATAGCATCCCTGTAGCCGTGCAGTTTGTGTTTAATTGCTGAACTTACATCAGCAATTAATCACCTAAAAGATGTTGTAGCCTTAGAAGAAAACCAATCAGTTTCCTACAAATTACTGTACCTTGACGATCTGTAGTTCCATGATTTAGTCACATGCTCTGAAGAAAGAAGCCCCAGTCTTATCTGGGCCAAAGTTGGCCGTCAGTTTTTTAAATGCAATTTTGTTCACTTTACACACGGTATTAAGGATCTGACAGTTCATTGCAATATGTGGCATTTATGGGGTGCTTTTATAAAAGACATAAAAAATAATTAGCATGTTTCCTTTCTGGAGATCTGGTTTCTATCATGTACAGTACTATGTAACACTGTGTGTTAGTATAACTTTTAGATAAGAAAACAACAGAAGAGTGTAATGAAAACAAACTGTTTCGGGGTTGCAAGACATGTTTTAGCACATAGTAGCAAGAAAAATGTATTATCAGTACCCTGATAAATTTTGAAAATGTTGTGAAATCGAATGTTTCTCCCTGTTATAAAACCACCCAGCACTACTAGAAACGGCTGTAACAATTTTACAACAGCGATTTTACTATAAATTTTACAGAAGGGCATTAACCTTTTTTTTTGGTCAAAATATAGTTTAATATGGGTGACTAAAAGATGCTCTCAGTACTGAGATCCAGTCAGCATGGATCTCACCATGGTAATGCTCTCATCCTCAGCTGTCTGGTCCAGCCAGTGCAGTTCAGCTGCAGTATCACAACTTCACCCTAAAGTCAATGGCATAAACATCAAAGGATGCTCCAATGCCTAATGCGAACTCTTTGAGGCTTTGTGCCGTAGTTAAATCCAGCACTGTGAGTTTACCGCAAGCCCAACAAAAAGCAACACTCAGCCTGATGTCTGTAACGAAGGGCACCCTTCAAATTCTCTGCATGATGCATTCAATAGGTGATGTCATGAGTGGTCTGGCTATGATGTGACTGAACTTACATCAGCAATTAATCACCTAAAAGATGTTGTAGCCTTAGAAGAAAACCAATCAGTTTTCTACAAATTACTGTACTTTGACGATCTGTGGTTCTATGATTTAGTCACATGCTCAGAAGAAAGAAGCCCCAGTCTTATCTGGGCCAAAGTTGGCCGTCATGAAGTATCGTGGTCGCGTGGGGGGAAAGTTGACTCAGTGTCTCGGGGTTTTCCATGTCTGATCTCCACAACATTGCTTGTTTGATCACCGTAACACTGTCAACCAATAGAATATTTAGAGCATAAAATTCAGTAACCATTTGCTTTAACAGGATCAAAGAATAGAAAATGTTATTTATGAGCATTTGTGTGTCGTCCTGTAAGCAGACAGTTCTAACCGAGCACTTGTTACGTAACCTGTTCAGCTGATAAGTGCTTCTCGAAATTTGACAGTTGATATGCCTGAGACCACATAGGGGAAAAAATTCCCTATAAATATTTAAGCAGAATCTCTGTTACAGTAGTGTCACTTGGCTAACTTTTTCTGTCAGTTGGGGATTTGGTAAGTTTCGTCAGTCAGTGTGGACATCAGCCGCCTACTTTAACAGTGTCTTCTGACTTACATGTGAACTGACAAATCATCGACCCTTTTAGCATGAAGTGCAAGTTCAGACATTTGATGAAATGGTGCTTCACCAAAAACTGTGAAACTAAGTAGTGTACAATGCCTTGACAACTACCAGGAAATCACATCTTAGTAACACAAGACTTTGAATAGCTTTAAAAGGTGGGATGCTGTAAACTTTTTAATCCAGCGACTCTGTCTTGCACTGAAAGACTCGTCTTTGTCATAGAGTGACATTAGCTAACATTTAGCTTGATAAAGCAACTTTAAGTGCCTAATTTGTCATATAACAAGGTAAAGGAAACCTGGCTCTGTGTAATCTAAATAGGTGTTGTGAATAAATCATAATATGAGTATATTTCATCCAATATCAGACTGTTCATTTTAAATTTTTGAGGAAATGTTTGTCAACCAGAAATTTGCATGAGGCGTCCATCACAAGTAAACCATGAAGTAAACTCAGAGGTCTGAACTCATCCTCCAGAGTCTTTCAGTGTCTGGGATATGTCCTTTAGGATTTGCCATTCTCGCATAGTCCAGTCTCAAAGATTTCAGTAAATATGAAAATCCCAGGTCTCTCAGAAATGCCCTCCAGATTCACATGTCTGACCTCACTTTGGGGTTTTTTAGCAGACTAACAACTGGAAGCGTAGAAGTGGTGGACTGTTGGTGGCCAATTGAGCTTTGTTTGCCAGGTTGTGATTGGGGCCTCGAATGTGGTGAGCGCGGTTAGGTTTGCAGTGCTACTGAAGAGTGATGGGAAGATAGAGTGGTCAGAGCCACCTGTTAGTGTTTGTACACACGGTCATGTGACTAAACAGTCCCAAGGTCACTATAGCAGCTGCAGCTCTGTATGTGTGTTTGCCATTCACTGTGAGGAATGTTTGAGAACAAGAGTTTGTCAGTTACCATGAATTATGGAAGATAAACAGTTTTGGTTTATTTGTGTGTGTGGGTGTGTATATGTTTTGTGTGTGTGTGTGTGTGTGTGTGTGTGTGTGTGTGTGTGTGTTTGTGTGTGAATGCACTCTGTAACCGTAATTCAGAGTGCTCGGGTGGTTTCTCAGGTGTTTTGTGTGCATGCACTTGCACAATGTTTGTGTTCATGGTGTGGTTAGTTGTCAGTGAGTCTTTCTCATGCTCATGCTCATGTTCTCTTTTTTTTTCTCTCTCTCTCTCTCTCTCTCTCTCTCTCTGTCTTTCTTTCTTTCTTTCTCTCTCTCTCTCTCTCTCTCTCTCTCTCTCTCTCTCTCTCTCTCTCTCTCTCTCCTGCCCTCTCGTTACAGGAAGTTTGGGGAGCGCCCTCAACCACAGCGCCTGACGAGGTAAGCAGACAATCTTCATCTCATAAACAAACAAATACAAAAGCAACGCCCATCCAATAAGTGCCCTCAGACTCTGGCACTTGTGCTAAAGACCCCAAGAGCAATGCTGGGTGAAATGAGGATCAATATCAGAATTTTTTTTTTCAAAAATTTTACAGGATATGATTTTTAACTCTGCATCTTAAGGCTGGGATTTTAAAGAGCAACTGCAGTCACACTGGTCTTTTGCCGTTCACTTGACGTTGCAAAATGGACGTGACAAGGCAGGTCCAGAAGATTGACAGTGAAGAACCTTCATTTGTAAATTGAGAATTAGACCAAAAGTTTATGTTTCAGCACTTTAGTTTTTGATCTTTAGAAAATTACATTGTAAAGTTTTGAATTTATGCTTTGAGCATTTAACATAAAAGAAGTATTTAAGATGTTTTAAGCAAGCAGGCACTGGACCTTAATTTATAGAAAACAATCGCTATTTAAATCACCATCATATTATTGGTCAGAAAAATTGCAATTAGATGTTTTCTCCAAATCTTTCAGCCCTACTGCGGATCATACAGAAACATCAAAAGGTTTGTGTTTAGACACTGGATATATTAGTGTTTTCTCTGTTTTGGGTGCTCAGTGCTGCTGTGTGAAGGAGCCGGCTCCTCAGGGTCCAACAAAGCTAAAGCAGTAGCACTGTTTGTTGAAGATTTGAATTTACATGTCAAAGTTCACCAAAGTTAAACTTAATGCAAAGTTACCTCGAAAGTTTTTCTCCATGCCCCTAAAATCAATATTTTTGTGGGACACCAGTATTGGTATACCGGTATAGACAATAAATCGACCAGCAGCGCTAATGCATATACATTGACCCTATGAAGCAGTGTGAGAAGGGCTGCACGCAGGTGTTCCATGTAGTGCTGTTGTCATCTGTGACATTTCTCTGTGGTGTGTAATTCTTAAAACAAATTGCATGTTGGTCATGGATACTTGTGAATAATATGTCTGAGTTGTGGCTGCGTGTGCAGTTTCTTTATGGCCAGTCTGAAAATAAAAGTGCTTCTGGCTCAAAGCCCTTAAGCCTCCACTGAGGTTTTAGGCTTGCAAAGACAATGCAGTAGTCTCTCTCTCTCTCTCTCTCTCTCTCTCTCTCTCTCTCTCTCTCTCTCTCTCTCTCTCTCTGTCTCTGTCTCTCTCTGTCTCTGTCTGTCTGTCTGTCTGTCTCTCTCTCTCTAGCTTTCTCATTTTTCACCCTCTTTTCTGTCTCCCTCTTTCTCTTTCTGTCTCTCTTATTCTTTCTTTCTCATTCTCTCTTTCTCTCTGTTCTGTCTTTTTTCCTCTTCTTCCTCAGAGAGGAAATGAGAGGTTGAGCATTTTTCGAGAACGAGAACCATTTTCAGAGGCTGCTCTCTATGAAGTGTGTCCAGTGTTTGGCTCATGTTTGGGCCTCTGGAGTGGAGGAGCGAAGCGAGAGAGATGGAAAATGACAGAGGAGGAGGAGGAGAAGGAGGAGAGAAAAATCTGGCGCCGATGGCTGAGAGAGTGCGGCCGCTCGGCGGCTGACTCAAAGCGTGAGCGTGGAGTGCACACATGAAGGCCGCTTCATAATTACTCCCTCATAGGCTCTCTCCATGGCTTCTAGCTCAACTTGATCAGAGGCGGGCTTGCTAGATGCTGGTAAAATTAGAACTGTGCACAATGTTGTAGTGTAATATTTTGAAATTTGATGAAATATAAAAAATATAAAATGATTGAGTAATTGATTAAAAGTAAAAAAATCACTGATTAAAATTTACATCCTTCATTAAACGTCAGTGATTAACTGTCACAATGAGAAATATCTGGACACGATCCTTTATGTTTTTTTTATGGGGGGGGGGTGTTTTTTGAAAGGCTGTGTGTAGTTTCATTAATTTGTACATTTCACGTTTTTATTGTTTGGCTTAAAAATTCTTACATGATTGATAAAATGGACACAGTCTTTACAAAATTATGAACAATAAAACCCACTACATTCACCATAACTAAAATGTAGCTGATTAGCCAAGACATAGATAGAAGTATGTCATATAGTGTCAGAATCCACACCACAAGCAAAGCAGTTCAAGATTACTTAAGTTATAACAACTATTCATATAACAGAATGAAAACTTGAAGTGATATTTGTATGCATAATGGGTTCCGTATTTATATGTAGGTTTATGTACAAGGATTTAAAAATAGCATACATATATATATAGCTTCAGGCCTAAACTAAAGATGCAGAGACACCAAACGTCTTGCTTGGCTGTGAGTTAAGAGGAAGTTTGAGTTGTGTAAATTAGGTTTTTTGCTTGAACTATCGCTTTAAGGCCTTGCAGTTATGTAGTTACAGTGTTGAAGGACAGAGAAACAATACTCTACGAATTGTACATCTTTCATTTAAATATGCTGGACACAAGATAGAGCTGAAATAACGATGATGATGATCACAGTATCCGCTCAGTGGGTGAACATGTGTGTGTTTGTGTCTGGGAGGACTTGACAAAACGGTGGGATGATGTGTGTGTTGCGGCGTGCAGCACCAGATGCTCCAGAACATATGCCCCGCTTATACATATGTATCCTGCATCTGTAGAAACTAATCATCAAATAACCTCCCTCGCTGGTGCCTCTGAACCCCTACTGTGTCCTTCTGAGTCATCCTCCCTGCCTCTCTTCTGTTCACTCACAATTGATCACTGGCCATGAATAAGCAATAATATCCAGGGCTTTTCACTGTTGAAACGGATTAAGCTGTCCGCTGATGAATAGAATGACGGGCTCTAACGCTACAAGAGTTGGCAAATATTCGTATTGTGCCACTGTTTAAAAGGGGAATCATTGTTTTGCTATTTTTTTGCAGATATGTGAGTAAAATGATTCAAAGATTATGTTACTATGCAACTTCATAGTTTTCAGATCAGATTGTTGGAAACTTAAGAAAAAAAACTTTTTAGATATGTTCACAAAGATGAACTGAACTGTAGGCGATTCTAAAAAGATGATGACATAATAAAATATAAGCATCTAGTAGGCCTTGTATCTGCGTACTGGTAATCAAAGCTCGGAAGTTCTATAAATAGCTAATTCTGATATATATCTTGTATTAACATATTGATCTTGAAATATTTGAAAAACTGAATAAAATGTAATGTTTGTTTTGTATTATTTTAATCTACATAGTAAAAATTATTTTAAAGTAAAGTAATAATGTTTTTATTAGAAATGTTATTTTATGCACAGAACTGAAGATGTTTGTAATGAGTCAGAGGCAGAGCACTGTTTCAATCTCTTCTTGTTGAAATGCTTGTATCTGCCCTGTCCTGTCTGAAAACTTTTGACTCATGAAGTATCCCCCAGCTTCTTCACTTGTGTGCATGCTTGCACGTGCCTGCATATGAACGAATCTTGTGTAGATGTTCTCTCTGTTAGGGAGTGGATGATAAAGGAAAAAAACAGTACCACAGTATTTGCATGATATGTATCACAATGTTTTACTTTTCTGAAGTTTGATCATCTGAAATAGACCTAATGCTATAAAAACAAAATAGTGATTCTTACATTATTTCTCATACACATTATGTTTTCTTGGCCTCAAAATTTCACAAAAGTAATGTGAAACCTCGAAAGCCTCATGTAAACTCCAAAGAATCGCACAGCTGGTCAGAATCACTGATGATACCCAGATTATAGTAGTAAGCAAAAGTTTGAACACACCTGATCAAATTGTGTGTTTTGTTGGTTTTCTAAGTGAAAATAAATTACCACATCCTCTACAGAGAACCAACTTAAATATTAAAATTAAAATATGCAGACAGGTGAATGAGTGTGTATCCATTTAGAGAATTAACAAGAAATTTGACCAGTGTACAATTTAGTGTCCCCCCGTCCCCAACTGTTTTAAAATGTACTTTTTAGCATTTAGTATCTTGATTTGGCTACAGAGAGAATGGAGGTTTTTTATTTGTCCTACTGGTAACTGGTTCATCCTTTTACTATGTTTGTTTTCAAATGTACTTTTTGAAGTGTATTTATTTTCTTGTTTACCATTTTTATTTAGCTGCACAAATTGAGCAGAAGTGAAAGATTTGTTCTAAGAACAGAAGGAATTTATAAGAAGTGTTGTGTGTGTGTGTGTGTGCGGGCAGGCGGCTCTGGCGCTCTGTGTCTTTTCCGTGAGGGAGCTGTTAGCTGAGCCCAGTGCGTGTGGTTTTTGTCTACAGCATATGAAGTCACATGCTCCCGCGGCTTCCCCTTCGCATGCGAGCAGTGTGTGTGCAGGGGCAAAGCCACAGAGCTGATCCTAAGGAGCGATAGACCACTTGCATGGGATCACATGGTTTCACCAAAAGACTTACTAAATGCACGATTTCAGAAAGTGACCACTGTGCATTCTCAGTGGTGCTTGGAAGTTGCGTTTTGAAGCCAGTCAAATTTCTGTACTTGGATGAGTGCCATGTTTGTGATCTGGTGCATCCAGTCATGCACATTAGCGCAACTTACCAGTACTTCCGGCTCTTGTATATGGCACGAAGTGTGACCATAAAAAGCCAAAACAAATTTGGGCAGTTTATTTCCTCAGTGTTGAGTTTTGATTGTCATGCTCTAGAGATGTTCATTTTGAAGGAATAGCAGTGTTTGAAGCTTCACTCATAGGCTTAGGTGAGAGTAAAGACAATTGCTGCACTTTTTGTAATGGTTTCCTCTGCACAAAACCATTGTAATGTGTAGGTCGAACATCTGTCTACAAGAAATTTCTGCAAATAGGTTTTGATTCGAAAGTTCTCTGAAAAGATCTCAATCTCTCCTCTGGATAAACTGTACAATAAATGCTAATAAAGTTCAAATGTTGTGCTCTTTTGGAAAATTAGCAAAGCTTATCGCAGTACAACTCGTCTTCCAGCTTTCACTTTCCTAGACTCAATATTCAGGCAACTCAACAGGCAACTTTACTAAAAGTAATGCTGCAGTTGAATTTGAGGAAGGTGGAGGCTTTT